GGTCTGCAATATCGTACAAAATGCACATCGGTTGAAATCACCCATGCCGGCAATGGAAACAATTTTAACGCTCATGGAATTTATCAGAAATATCGTCTGTTACACTGCACTGATCAACAGGGGTTCGCTACAAATGTCTGAAATACACATATTCTATAGACCTACTGAAACATATGTTACAGACCTACTGATATGAGTCAGTACATAAACATTTCAGACATTTGTAACGAATCCCTGTGCTCCGTCGCAAGATCACTCACTTAAAACGCAATCAGTTTCACGCGTCTCGCAGCCACGGTTTCCTCAGTTGCTGACGACATGTCAAATAACGAGGTTGTTATAGAATCTACCGACTGTAGTCAGATTCCCATACAATCAAGAAATAAATTCACATCTGGATTCTTCACAAAATGAGAAAAGAGAAAAGTTCGAATTAACTTCCAAAAATAACTCCCTCGTGGAGGGCAAGGTCGAATTTACGGTGTTCACTGTATTTATCCATTCGCGAAATTTGCACCGGGGGAAAATCGAAACAATTTCAAATTTAACATTCAGCTCAGAGTTCTATTGATAAACTTAAATTAACCTATAGATATATCATACGCAATTGTATTGATACTGAATTGTGGAATAAAATTGAAGTGTTTGTTAAAATGTCAAAGAAGTACTTTGTTTGCCAATCAGAACGCGACAATACGCTGTTCAAATTATTGAACGAAATTGTGTTGACTTTCGATAAGGCGGGCATTTTTAATTTCAAATATAAATTCCAAATTAAAAAAAAAGAACATAAGAGGCAGATAAAACGTTAATATAAGTATTGAACTGTTTTTGTATGGTATTTATGATCTATTTGAATGACACAGCTTTGTCATTCAAATAGATCATAAATACCATACAAAAACAGTCCAATGCTTAAAAAAACACGCTCCTTTGAATAATGACATTCACCATATGATTGGGTGAGGGACATTCAACTGTGTTCACCTAAATTACTAAAAATGTGCAATAACTGCGGCAAATCATATGCTTAAATAAAATACTCCTCAATTACGACGAAATCTGGACCCAATTATTTGATGGCAAACCATACCGATAAGTAAAAATAAAACAATATATTTAGTTTTTAGCTCACCTGGTCCGAAGGAGGGGTGGGGCCAAATAGGGGAAACATAGGAAATTCTTCAAAAAACTCTCTTCTGTAGGAATGAAAGGATTTTGCCCAAATTTGGTATGAAGGACACTTGGGTGAAGGTGAACCAATTTTGTATCAACGGTTGGTCTGAACCCTTTGGGGACAGAGAGGCGGGACCCAAGATGGGATATAGAGGAATTGCTTTAATTTCATGTTCAGCTCACCTGCCCGAAAGGAGCATCCCTGGAGCATCCTTAGGCCAATGGTACGAAATTTTGTATAAACGGTTGGTGTGCCCCTCCTGGGGCAGAGAAGCGGGGCCCAATAGGGGAAGTAGAGGTAAACCTTTAAAGTCCTTCTTCTACCGTAGGGATAAAGGGAGTGTGCCCTAACTTGGAGCTTTTTTGGGCCAAGGGGACTCAATTTTGTATAATATGTGGATGTGGCGCCCTTGGTGGCATAGGGGTGGGGACAAATATGGGAAATAAAGGTAAAATCTTTAATATCCTTCTTCTACCGTAGATATTAAGGATTTTCATCCTAATTTGGTCTGGAGCATCCTTCGGTCAAGGGGATTTAATTTTGTATAAACAGTGGGTGTGGACTCTCTGGAGATAGAAAAAAGGGGCCGAATAGGGGAAATAAAGGTAAAACCTTTAAAATCCCTCTTCTACCTTTAAGGATTAAGGGATTTGTCCCAATTTGGTCTGGAGCATTCTTGGGCCAAGGCGACTCAAATAGGTGTTGGAGAATTTGACCCTTTAGTCGTAATTTATTTGATATTTGGCTAAAATACTGATAGGTAAATATTATGGAGAAGGCCTAGTAAGCTGTCGGGACGTATGTATCCAATCTTTTTTCTTGGTTTCCATAAAAACAAACGGGAATTAAATGAAACTAGAGGAGTATTAGTAAATTTCAAATTACCAATGAGTAATTGTATAATTAGCCTTATTGAAAGGGAGTTAACTCCGATATTCTTCCGCATATTTTGTCCCAAACCACCAAAAACATTTTACTGAAACATGTGGGTTTTTTTTATTTTTTTATTGAATCACGTGAAGTGAATTTTTGGCAATTATAATGTTCTTTATTATCAAAAGGTGAAATTGTATCATTGATAATTAAAAGTAACAGAGCAAAATTCGTCACCGAAAACGTGTAAAATAAAACAATTTTGTAAATGAATGAATAAACATTTGAAACAAAAAAAAGAATACATATATACGAGGAAAGCAAACAGTATCCATTGTATAACAGATGATATAGACACGTTCTTCTTCTTAAGTTAAATATAGTAATCCTATATACAAATACCATTTGCTAACTGAATTTGTGTTAACGCACATTCGATAACGTTGTTGCCGTCAACTAGCGTTCTCTGTTGGGCGTGAAATATCAAGAAAATGTTTCGTAAAGCGAAAACTAGCCGAGCAATGCATGTGTAATTATATCGGTATCTGGAGATAATGAGTTCGCCATTTACCCATTATGTACATAAGGAGCACAAAAGACACACAAGTATCATATGCATTCACCATCATATTTAATAGTTTGATAACAAAAACTGCAATAAAATACTGAAGAATCAACAAAACAATAAGCTAAAATGAAGATCGATAAAACTAGTATTAAATATGATAAAAGAAGGATTAACATCGAGATCCCTGAAAGGATAGGACAAGGCGTTCCGGCTACATCGACGACACAGTACAAATAATATATTTACATCACAGTACTGAGCATAAATGGTAATACAAAATGTACTTCCTAACATTAATGTACCATTAACATAGTATTCGGAAGGTATGCCAGCTATGCTACAGCTCCAAACCATTTTGTAATTAATACTCATACCCATTTTTAAAACATATAGCCACTGGAACAGCATTAGGCTGCTTGATATCTCAAGATCAACACACTGATGTTGATCTTAATGAGGACCTATGCTTAATAGAACCGCAATTCGACTCAATCAATAAACCCTTGGCAAAACATGACCAAAACATGCGTGCCAACAGTTCGTTACTACGTTCTATCTTGGACCCAGTAACTGTTCTAACAAATAAATGTCGACACTATTTACAAAATAATGGCCATCTCTCTGACTCCAATAACGATTACCTAATGTTTCAAATAGTCATGGCCTCAAATCAATACTGCCTAAACTACACCCGGTAGATAAGTTACATTTATTACAATATACTTCTAACACTAGTTAAGTCAAAAAGCTAACTAAAACCCGGTATCACAATATATCTGTGACCCTGTATCACCAGTAAATAACCCCTTACTGCGACACCCATGCCTGTGTAACCCTTTACCGCGACACAGCTTGACCACGTCACCCTTTACCGCGACTACCTTGACTACGCCATCCTTTACTGCGACTACCTTGACCACGCCACCCTTTACCGCGACTACCTTTTGACTAAATCACCATAGAGGCCTTGGTAAACCCTGAAGTCTTGGTAAAACCGGTGTCTTGGTACCTGTCACTCTGTATCTATCAACAGAAAGTCGCTCTGTACTGTGATACCCTATGGCATTGTACACTACCCAGTACTACAATTTATTTCGACACTGAAATTTTAAGGAGTTAAGTGGAACCCTAACTTATGCGGCTAGGCCCAAACGTATTAAGCTTGGTCATTGCTTACATTTTTAGAGGTGTTCTTTCCACTTCGACCACCAGCGTAAGATAGAGCTATTCATTTGATGGAACCTTTACTGATAAACCCAGCCATCTAAAGAGCTGCCTCCTTTTAATAGCCAATCAAAACTACTCTTTACTTCCAAATCCCAAAAGAAATAACTAAATCAAGTCTATACTACAGATTTTGTTTAGCTAAACAATGATATTAACAAAGAATCAACCACAGCAATGGCTTCCGAGAGAATACGGGTCTTCAGCTGCATCTACGACAACAACCATGTTAATGATGGAACAGGGTGGTGACAAGAAACTCTTACAAAGAAATAGAATATATATCCAAATGAGACCATGATGGTTACATATATAACTTGTTTGTACTGTTCATCAACTGTCATCTTACCAAACCCAGTGTTGTAAGTGTTCTAATCGTTATAATTGGAGCAGCATGTGAATACTGAATCAGCTGTTACAGGGATGCTACTATCAAAGAGTGGGTTAGGTCAGGATCGGAAATGGAAATCGTTAAGCTTATTGAAGGCTTTAGTAAAACGCAATCCCTGTTGGCCATGTTTGACGTTACAATATAGTTTCTCGAATTCTACAGGTTATTACTCCATAATTGCTTCAACGTAGAAAGTTACTCCTTAAATGAAAGGATAGTTAACGAAGTGGAAATATATTTGATACAAAGACCCATATTTATTACTGTTGAATCAATAAACACATGTAGATACAATAATGAGTATATACAATGCTTCTTTAGTGTGTATATATTTTCGTGAAGTACGCAAGGTGCAGTACAGTACATGTATAATGACCATTTTTGAATCTCACAATCATGTATGAATATACATGTAGATATGTTTAATTAAAACAATGAATATACCTGGATTAAATAGCATTGTAAAGCATTTTCCTCCCGTCTCTATGTCTTTAAATCTATGACGTCATTATGTATTGTAATTGTTACTATGTTCTGCAGCATCTGCAGAATGAACAAGAAGCCACTTATGCTTACCGGCCAATTAGTTATTTACATATTTTTGTTTGTATTGTCATTATGTTTAACTGGAAATTGTGCAAAATGACTTTTTCTCATTGATATGTTTATATACACATATACAATATCCTATAGATTTGGCAAGCACAACGTTGCTTTGTGTTTACAAAGGAACTGCTTATAACACTTAATTTCAATCTTTAGTATTAATTCAGAAGTAGGTGTGAATAAGGTACACCATGAAACCCATATTGATACATACAGAAGCAAATATGATAAACAACATGCTAGCTTTATCAAATGCGTGTCCCACTTTCTTCCAAGTCAACTCAACTTCGCCATCCGTTTGAGGTTTTTCTGTCGCTGTTTCATCAACTGTAGGGTGTTTCTTCTGATCACCCGGTGATTTCCTCCGCGAACCACTTTTCTCGTCTGTTTTATCACTTGAAACGGGCGTTACATATATTTCTGTTGGCGTCACTGTAGCTGTCTGTGGCTTCTTTTTGAGGCACTTATATTCCATAATATTAACGAATGTGATGTAATGCTGAGGTACTTTCTCCTCTTCTGAAAGGTAAACCTTGACCGACAGGATGGTGAGGAGCATGATTAAGACACTCATCCCCATCTGAGTGAGTAAAAGATAGCTCAGTACGGATATCTGAGGCATGGACGACTGCGGCAGGGCGTCTGTCACTATCGTGAGAAACACAGCAATAGATAGTAGGTTCGTAATAGAGAATCCAATCCTCTCACCAGACTCAACCGGAAGTATAAACACAAAGGAGTTGATAGCCGTCATCATACACATAGGTAGAATCATGTTGACTAGATAGAACAAAAACCGCCTTTTGAAGAAGAGTTTAATTTCGACAATCTCAAAACCGCTGTTAATGATCGTCATTTGTGTCGACATAAGCTCCCATATCGAGTTCTCAGTAAACATTCCAAGATCAAGCTCCGAGTTTAAAACGTTAAACGAAATTTCCGTTGGCCTATAAAACCAGGTAGTGAACAGCAATTTACAAGACTGGCTATCGAAGGGGTAAAACGTTACATCAGCGTCACATGACACTTCAAACACATCTACCGGGTTCCAGGTCGCGAGACCGGTGTACAAGTACCGGATGTAGAAGTCATCTAAACCAAGAAATTTGATATTGTTGTAGGTATTACCTAACACCATGTTTGGTTTCCACACCTCCTTCTGTTGCAGGAGTGTGGAAGCCATTGAACTGTAGGAGCCCGGGGTCCAGTTCAGTCGCTCGTCCACCCAGGTTATTGTGAAGAAACCAGTGACAGCAAATTTGCCTTCTAATTCATTGAATGCTTGAATCGTTATTAAACCGAATGTGACGTTGACTTGGAGTGGAACTGAGTAATCTGTTCCAGGTCGTACATGTTTTTGGTAACCTGTCATCAGAGCAGTGTAGAGGCTCGTTCCGTCTGTCGACGACTGGGACATTGTTGAATGAATCAACGTAGCCAAACATGTCAGCAAGATTAACATTAAAGACATCTTCCTTTCTAAATCCGGATGGAACAAACTCATCAAATTAATTAATTTGAAGAAGAAATCCTACTGTCATTCCAGTGATCAAATATGACACTGAATATGAGCCGTGTACAATCTCAAATATTATAGATCACGTGCTGCGTTATCTTCATGAATGAATCAGTGCTATTGTTTACTGGTAAGCACGGTGTCTTGACCAAACATTGATTGGTACGTTGTCGCGTTAATCAATGCGGACCACGTAGGCATATAACAATAGTCTAGTATGATATCTTGTATTACAGGTCGTAACGGCCAAGGGGCGGTATAGGTCATTTTCGACCTAATCGTTGGATTGTGAATTAGTTGTTATATTCGTAATCTGGAATAAATGAAGTATGCGAATATGAAATTTCAAATTCATTCGACAACTGGTTAAGGAGATATGGCATTAAAAAGACAGACATAAACCTGCATTTTCATAAGAAAATGTCTGAATATCGTCTGTAATGCGCTATATGGTAGAAATTATGCCATTTTGAAGGAAACTAACTAAGCCCTATCGAATTTTTGAAAGCCTCCGCATGCAACAAACAAACAAATATTTCACGCGCTTTAACATCGTCATACCAGTGTTCATTCGCAGATAGGACTTTTCGTTTGTCACATACGGAGGCTTTAGTTCCTGCATGCTAACTGTCCAAAAACTCCATATTTTGGTTATTTTTGCATTGCAACGCAATTTCGTTGCTATGGTAGAGCATCTACGTTTGCGCATTGGAAAAAAATCTGAACCATGAAAGATATCTCTAATTGCTCAATATGATGTTTATAACAGAAATTGATATATTGCATGTACTTCAAGTTCAATTTTTTACTTTTTATGAGACCAAAAATGACCAATAACGCCCGAAGACCTTTAAACATGTGAATTGTATTGGAAAATCTGTTTTTTGACGAGTTACGCAACAAATGACATGTACATTTACTACAAATACATTTGCAATTTCTAGTCAAATCATGTTTGACCAAGTCCGTCTGTAGAACACTGTAAAATAAGAACTCGCAAGCTAGTATGTTTTTATAGATATGTGTAGATATATCTAAAATGAAACGGTGGTAGTCAACTTCCCTTAGGACTTTTACTTTTAGTCATAATTGTAACGGGATAAACGTACACTAAAACACTCTACAACCCAATCTTGATCATTTACTTTGAAGTGAACGTTGCCGTGTTCAGCTATAGTCGGTTAAAACTGTCCATAGGGCTTTAATAAATGCAATCAACTACTAACTGACGTTAATAAATTGTAATCAGCAATGGATATAATTCTACAAAGAAACATTTCTTATTATTTCAGTAGCAATTAGTCGACACTAACTGGAGAGTTAAAACTCGGAAACAAGTAGGAAACAGTATTTCTTTAAACTACTTGGCGAGGGCATAGTTGAGGACTCATCGTTTGAATTACGCTTACAAAAAGTCATTCATTCCTCCTGTCTCATTTCATAAAGTTACTGCTTTATTCACCTATTACCATCAATATTCATAAATAAACACTGATATCATATCATAATATTACCAGTTTTCTTCATGTAATAAATCATCACTATCAACAAATTTATAGTTTTTTTTATTTTATTTGTGTGTGGTTAAACATTCCCAGCATGGCGGTTTTATAACAAATTTGCCATAAAAAAAGTTCATTACACTTAAGTAGGCATGTACATTAATATATCAAAAACATAACAAGATATTTGCCATTATTTTTTATCGAATGGTTATTGTCAAATGAACACCCTTAAAAATATTATTGACGTTTTATACTGTCATGATATATTATATTTTTTCAAATGTCGATACAATCTCACATGTTCTATTATAATAAGGACACATAACTTAATGTTTCGTGTTGAAAACGTAAGCTCAGCATAGGAAACGTATGTGATGGTCTTATAACGATGACCACAGAGATACACTTAAAAACATACATGCAATGCCGACCTTTAATATCGTACAACACAGACATAATTATCAAAACGTCACTGTCTTTTTTTCTTCGTCAAGTTTGTTACATTTCCATGATATCGTTATATTTCGTAATTATTTGTATTGTTCTTCATTTAATGTGTATTTTATAGCTAAACGCCGACTGTAGACTTTCATAATCATCAACGCTGGTCACGACATGCACTCCGTTCACCTTATGTAGGCGATATACAAACCGCGCATTTAAGAACATATCTAAGTCGCAAAGGTATTAAGATATATCATTTATGTTGAATTGAATTGGAATGTATCTTGTCTTCTAAATCACCTTACTAATCAATTCAATATGAACCTTCAGAAGCTTAACGCCCTACAAGGTTGATATGCACACGTCATTTAGCCAGAATCGCTTAATCTCATGACTTATAGCAGTACCCGTTGTGACTAGTCGCGTCAAATACCGTGATGACAATTAATCAATAGGTTTCAAAATAAGAACAATTAACATATTCCTGATCACGTCCCAAACCCCACGATATGAGTTCTCCTCTATTGCTGTGTGTCGGCATTGTAGGTCCTTATAATTATCGCTTGACCGTATTACTTATAACTAAGCCCGATGTACTTACCGGTCGGTATAACTAATGTGAAAAACGAAGTGTGACCGGTGCACAGCGTATGAGAAGCAGAAAACAATAGCCTTTTAACAATAGACTATGTACGTCATCAAAGTAAACCATTATGTTTGATATTATACATAGACTGAACACGTGCGTGTAACTGTGCAACCTCTAGACTACCATAATAATTGTATCTATTCTTTAATGCGATTTACACTGAATCAGAACAATACTATGCATCGGGAGAACACAGTACACATAACGAGAATTATAATCTCGTTCAGTGACGCGATCGCCACTCGCTAGCATCAAAAATGGAAAAAAAATGGTAAAAGTATCAGTTATTATACGAGGAAACATTCGAAATAAAAACATATCTCTTATATGACATAATCTGGTTCGCTGGAAACAACAAGGTTTGTTAAAATGTCAATGTATTACCGAACATAGAGCAATTAATAGTTCAATATTCAGTTATTTCTTTGTCAGTGTTTTTCGATTAAAATACCCTTCATGTTTGTTGTTTGTGTATTTCTTGTATATGACTTTTTCATTAAAAATCGTAAAGTATTGTTTTTGCGCAACAATAATTTACCAATTGTGACGGAAAATATCCAATGCATAATAACATATCAGCAAAGGTACGGGTATATTCAAGATACAGATAGTTTGTGACAGAAAAACACACACGTTCAGCAGTGCATAGAGGAACTAAAATGATTTATTAGATATGCAAGACTATTCTCTAGGACTAGGAACATAACATATAGATATTAACACACACATATATATATATACATGTAATATAAAAGAGCTCTTGTCGTCCAGTTCTACACCCACTAATTATCCTATTGTGGAGCTAATGAGCGATCGCACTGGATGACTACATATAGCCAAGAGAATACCTGCTTACCGTGATTGTCTATTGAATACCTAGTGTGTCTATTTGTAACTGGTCTTTGTTGTTGTCTAGGGGTATGTGTTTAAGGATTTATTTATTCCCGCTGCATAAATACTCACCAACAATACTCGCAAACACCCAGACGTAGAAACGTTATAAACAAAATTTAATACAGGTTGTTAAATTCATGATTGATTCTCAATCAATATAAACAAATCAACACTCCACGTGTATTACATATCACAATACATACAGGATAAACACTTAGACAATATCAACAAAACACCACTCCCCGTGTATTACATAACACAATACATACGGATAAACACTTAGACAATATAAACAAAACAACGCTCCCCGTGTATTACATATCACAATACATACAGAATAAACACTTAGACAATATAAACAAAACAACACTCCCCGTGTAATACATACCACAATACATACAGGATAAACACTTAGACAATATAAACAAAACAACACTCCCCGTGTATTACATATCACAATACAAACACTTAGACAATATAAACAAAACGACACTCCCCGTTCATTACATATCACAATACATACAGGATAAACACCTTAGACAATATAAACAAAACAACACTCTCCGTGTATTACATAACACAATACATACAGAATAAACATTTAGACAATATAAACAAAACAACGCTCCCCGTGTAATACATATCACAATACATACAGGATAAACACTAAGACAATATAAACAAAACAACACTCCCCATGTATTCCATATCTCAATACATACAGGATAAACACTTAGACAAGATAAACAAAACAACACTCCCCGTGTATTACATAGCACAATACATACAGGATAAACACCTTAGACCATATAAACAAAACAACACTCTCCGTGTATTACATATCAATACATACATGATAAACACTTAGACAAGATAAACAAAACAACACTCCCCGTGTATTACATAGCACAATACATACAGGATAAACACCTTAGACCATATAAACAAAACAACACTCTCCGTGTATTACATAACACAATACATACAGAATAAACATTCAGACAATATAAACAAAACAACACTCCCCGTGCATTACATATCACAATACATACAGGATAAACCCCTTAGACAATATAAACAAAACAACACTCTCCGTGTATTACATATCAATACATACATGATAAACACTTAGACAATATAAACAAAACGACACTCCCGGTATATTACATATCACAATACATACAGGATAAACGCTTAGACAATATAAACAAAACGACACTCCCGGTATATTACATATCACAATACATACAGGATAAACACTAAGACAATATAAACAAAACAACACTCCCCGTGTATTACCTATCACAATACAAACACTTAGACAATATAAACAAAACGACACTCCCGGTATATTACATATCACAATACATACAGGATAAACCCCTTAGACAATATAAACAAAACAACACTCTCCGTGTATTACATATCACAATACATACAGAATAAACACGTAGACAATATAAACAAAACAACACTCCCCGTGCAATACATATCACAATACATACAGGATAAACTCTTAGACAATATAAACAAAACAACAC